CGGCGGCGCGCTCCACTCTCCTTCGCGCTCCTCTCGCCCTTGGAATTAATTCCGGCTCCACTTGTTGCTCGGCCCAGGTCGGGGAGAGGACGAGGGTGGCGGCGGGTTTTCCCAAGTGAATTCCCGTGGAGGGACCGAGCGCAGCGTGGACTGGCGGGGAGCGAGGGGGTGCGGGACGCGCGCGAGCAGGAAGGAGGCAGCGCCTGGCACCGGGGCTTTGACTCGACAGCATTGAGACATGTTTGTAATCGCTGGCGTGCCCCGCGCGCAGGATCCCAGCGAAATCAGATTTCCTGGTGAGGTTGCGTGGGTGGATTAATTTGGAAAAAGAAACTGCCTATATCTTCTCATCAAAAAACTCACCGAGGAGAAGCGCAGTCAATCAACAGTAAACTTAAGAGACCCGGATGCTTCCGTTGTTTAAACTTGTATGCTTGAAAATTATCTGAGAGGCAATAAACATCTGCTCCTTTCTTCCCTCTCCAGAAGTCGATTGGAATATTAAGCCCAGGAGTTGCTTTGGGGACGGCTGGAAGTGCAATGTCTTCCAAGTTCTTCCTAATGGCTTTGGCCATATTTTTCTCCTTCGCCCAGGTTGTAATAGAAGCCAATTCTTGGTGGTAAGTTCATTCTATGTGCATATTTTATTTTTAAAAAAGGTTCATTTGTACGATGCTGCAATATTGAAAGCTGAAGCATGAGCTTGGGTGCATTTGTCTAATACACATATGATACATTTTATTTACATGTATTTTTAAATAAGAATTTTCTTTTAATTTGCTAATATTGTAAAGCTTATCTGTAGCTCCATAGGGAATCAGAGCCTATAAATCTAGACCTTTTTCTATGAGGCCCTTGTTCAGATGTATGCTTGTAGTACATATAATAAAAGGGAACCCCAATTCACTTCCCTGATATTTGAAAGCCTATCTATAAAATTTACTTTTTGCCACCTCTAGGTAGTAAAAGTGAGTTCCAACTTTTATTTTTCTGTCACTTGAGGTTATTAACCTTCAGGGTCTAATGTAGGGAGAGCTCTAGGAAGACAGCTAAACTCTAAGTCGAGAAGTGTTGGGGCTCAAAATTCCGTCAAGAAAAGGTGAACTTGAAGTAGTCAAATGTCCCTGAAGGAGAGGGATTCTTTCTGGCAGGGCCCTTGCAGATAGGCTGCAATATATCCAGAGGATTATTTTTGACGGCGTTCTGGATACTTTTCCCTGTAAATGAGCAGTGTTTTTCTGACTGTCAAACATGACTTCTGTTCACTGGATACCCTGTCTTGGGTCCTTCACAATCATATAGAAGGAGCCCTTTTAAAATGTCCAGAGCATGGTGAATTTTCCTCAGTCTGTATACTTGTCCCACTGTTCTTCCATCAGCCAAAAGGAACTGCCATCTCCCACCCGTGTCTAATTGTGTCTGCTTTCGGCATTCATACATTTTTCAAGGCAGATCACTCCAATTGGTGGGGCAAAGTGAGTCCCTTTCTCTAAGGTCAGAGACTTGTTCCGAAACCGCCGTTTACCTCTTTTCTGAGTGGATTTCGGAAATACTGGTTCAGGTATATAGCAGGGGTGGGGGGCAAGGAAGGGAGTAAAAACTCTTAACTGAGGGGCCAGATGGCGGGATGGGAACTACACAATACCTCCGTTTTCTGAGTGGAGCTGAAACAGAGGAGTTTTATGAAGCCCTTCTCATACTTTGTCATGAGGACAAGCAGGAGAGAAAAGCATCTGTGTGCTTAGAACTATGTCTTGCTGACATGCTTTCTGGGGGCCCACCTCGAGAGTTCACGTAAATCTTGAACACACATCTCCCCCCACCCCTTTTCAGGTCGCTAGGTATGAATAACCCTGTTCAGATGTCAGAAGTATATATCATAGGAGCGCAGCCTCTCTGCAGCCAACTGGCAGGACTTTCTCAAGGACAGAAGAAACTGTGCCACTTGTACCAGGACCACATGCAGTACATCGGAGAAGGCGCGAAGACAGGCATCAAGGAATGCCAGTATCAGTTCCGACATCGGCGATGGAACTGCAGCACTGTGGATAACACCTCCGTGTTTGGCAGGGTTATGCAGATAGGTAGGAGACCATTTAACTTATTTTTAAGTATATATAAACTTTTTTCCTAGAAAAAGTCTTTAGTGTTTACTGACCAGCTTGATCAGCAGGGAACCTTCCAGCAGAGTGGTGGCTTGGGGATTTGTGTCATGATTGCTACCTGTGTTAATTCCTGTTCCCACACTTTTTTTTTTTTTTTTTTACCTTTTGGACTTCTTTAACCCAATCAGGAGGGGAGCATCATAAGACACCTTGTTTTTTTTCTGAATACTTAATTTTTCTAAGAAATGTTTTGGTTACAATAGAAGCAGCACACTTATTTGGGTTTCTCAAAAGTAGATGAGGAAAGCTGAGTCATTTATATCCTTTTAAGCTTCAAAACTCTTTTAACTGTAAGCGGTTTCTTAACTTAAGCCACAATTCAAATGGCCCAAGCAGCAAAATAAAAATTGTCATCTTTCAGAATACTGGGCATGTTGGAAGTGAATCAGGTTCTAATTTTCCTAATATAGATAGCCCCCGAGGCTATATATGTATATATATATGTATATATATATATATATACACACACACATATAATATATATAATGTTAAAAGCTTTCTTTTTAGTCCCTGAAAGAATTTTAATTAGAAGTGGTCCAATTTACATTTGCGATTTTGGTCATTGATATAAAAGCACATACTTCAGACCTCAACCCAGAAGCTTAAAAAAACACACCTTTAATTTTATCAGTCACAATCTGATTCTTTATTTTACATGTGTTGTGCAACTTGTTATTCCATTCAGGGAGGAGATGACATTAAAACTGGACAAAAGGCAAAGAATTTGAAAACACAGTTTGCCTCTGGTTTGGTTTAATAGCTTAGGATAGCATCTGACAGATGAGGTCCTGTGTGTGTTTTCTAGTGTGAATATTTTAGGTCTCTTTACTTTTATGCAAACAAGCCCTTATAATTAATATGACTGCAGTGACTCCAAAAATAAGAAGCAATTTATCAAAGCAATTAACTGTTTATACTGACTGAAGATAAAAAGTTGGCTTAATATCCGTCACAGATGGATAAAATGCTTTTTTAAAAAACCCTGAAAAGTGCATTCATTGAGAACAAAAAAGAGTTGTCAGTGGATGTTTGAGCCAATCGCCTTCATAAACTAAAATAATACAGGACTGGAAGCCGGTCCTCTAATTGAATGGGAAAATGGTCTGAAGCCTCAGCCTGCAAAGTTTCCTAGGGCTTTGTCCTTCCTGTTAATGATTAAAATGTGCTAATGTATATACTGGATCAGGAGCTCGGAGTTCAGCTTCAGGAACACAGGAGTTTTCCCTGAATATAGGCTGCCTTATGTAGTTAACTGGGGTGTGGTGGAGACTGAATTCTCCTGCATTTTGATATTGTGAGTGAACTAAACACTTTTTAAAGAAGTTATATCAGAATGGCAAGTTGTCAGCCTTCCCTCCTCACATTTGCTTATATAGTGCCCCTAAACTGCCTTCCTCTCAAACTATGGGGCCGCTTTTTCACGAGTATATGAGCTAGCAAAAATCATACACCTCTGATGGTAACCAGAAAGGAAAACAGCAATTGGAACTGTTTTTCTGTGTAGTCACTGGAACACAGCTTTGATTTAAGATTCTCTTCTCGTCTTTATTCGTAGCCTGTTTTGGGCCAAAATGTTCAGAATAAGCTATCATTTGCTAAGTGGATTTGAGTTCTGCTGGAGATTTATTTAAAATGTGGTCCAAGATTCAAAGAGCCTGCTTCCTAAGGGAACAAGCAGAACCCTTGGTACAAAGACCTATATTTAATTGTCCCTTGCAAGTATGCTCTCTGGTCCTCGGCTGTGTGGTACTGCCGTCTGGGTTGATGGGAAATGGGTGGGACAGCCTCTGAGGGAGTCCCCCTGGATGTGATCACCAAGTCAGCTGCTGTCCTGGGAAGGTGCCGCATCTCCCTTGCCAAAAGCGCCCCAAGTGCCTGGGATCTCAGGGCAGAAAGCTGCTGCGGGGTGGCTTGTGTTGGAACACCGACAGGGCCTTCTCTCTCTCTCTCTCTTTTTAATTTAAAATAGATTTGGAGAGAAGAAAAACCAGAATAGCTTTTGGTGGAAGAGGAACATGGACCCAACCACAATAGTGGGAAAGTTACTTAGCTTTCATTTTTCTATTTAAGGTTGTACCTTGGAAGAGAATGGGCTAAGGGAAAGTTCAGAACACCTTTAAGAGTGAAAGGTGTATGCGTGTCTGCTCCAAAGCACTTAGTACACCAGGGACATCGAGAGCAATTCTTGTTCGTGAGAATCTGACCCTGTGATGGGGCCAGTGTCTGAGAAACTCAGGGCTGCCCCTTCCAACCCCTCCTCAACTCATTTTTCTAGGGTGCCAGTTGCTTTGGAGGCACTGTACACAATCGCCTCGTGAAGGGGCCCACTCTTCATTTTGGAAACTTTCTCATTTTTCATCGTGCTCCCCTTTCTTCCAGCTTTTGTCTCTGTCTCTTCTTTGTTTCCATGCTGTGAAAAGATATGTCAGGAAGGTGCCATTTTTAAGGCGTGTGAGGATGGGAGAGGGTGTAGATTCAAAGGGAGGGAGGCCTACGCCAAGCAGCCTCATTCCATCCAGGGCAACGGTGTCCACAGCCTGTTAGCTCAAGAGTACTTTTCAAATGAACGTTTCCCCTGCAGCGACCAGTTAGCTTAGAGACTTCTACCAGGTTTGTATTCTGGGGCAAAAAAGGAAATGCCCAAGATAGACTTCTGAAACAAGCAGCATTATTGTGTTTTGTATAAAAGACCTTTTATGCTTTGTATACTCACAGGACAGTGTCTTATTTTCCCGTATCTCTGAAGGGTTATCTCCTCTTTCTCTAGCTACCTCTTTATTCTACAAGCCTCCCATCCAGGGCCACAGCATTTTCTGTATTATGTGTTAATCCTTAAGCAACTCCCTAGAATCTGTCTTTCCTCGTCATTTCTCTCCACTCCCTCCCATGTTCTTTGCCTCGCTAATTCCAGCAAGATAGATGTCGCACCCCACAGGAACTTTCTGGATCCTCCTGCCAACCCCCAGCACATGCCTCAAGTTATTCATTTTTTTTTTTTTAAATGTGGGAGGGAAGGTCTGTGGTAAATGGGAACCATCGCCATTCCTGGAAGTGGGGGGTCAGAAATGGCTGTGGATTGAAGTTGGAGCAGAAGTCCAAGGAAAGGATGGGTCCCTGCATTGGCATAGTCACCCTCCTGCAGAATGACCTGTCTGGTTGGGGCTGAGTTCTGTTGTCCAGCTGTACTTGTGTTTCCACCCCTGTCTACTCCCCCAAAAGACTGTTAGCAAGCTCTTTAAGTGCAGGAGAAAATGATTCTGGTACAGGAAATTTAGCGCCAGAAAGGGCCTTTTTCCCCCTAAGCATCTAGTTCAATACTCTGATTTTATAGTTGAGGCAAGTGAGGCCTCCTCATTGCACCCCCAGGCCCAGCTTCAGCTGGCCTGGTGTTAACCCTTTCTCTCTCATAGTGCAACATTTTTATTAAGTGGCTGCTGTGATGTGTAGAAACGTATTCCCATAAGGTGATGTGTGATCATCTCCATTTCCTCCTTACCAATAGGGCTCCTGTGTAACTTGTACAGGGGCATGGTCTGTAAGTCTTAGGGAAGGGGAATCCTGTTTTTCCCCTAGGTTTGTGTATTCTTTATAAGTCTGGGGAAGGAGGAAGCTTTTTTTGTCTTTTCCCTTTAGATTGTGCTTTTTGCCTCCTTGCTGTCATTCTCACACTGAGGCACGGCTGTCAGGGAGCTGCAGAAGTGGCATTGAAGGCCAGGAGGCTGGTTAAAAGTAGACAACTCGGCTAGAAGGAGAAAGATCAGTCCGTTCAGCTTGGGATTCAGAAAGAAGCGGTTCATTTATAACTGTCTAGGGATGGGTTTAGGAAATGTCCACTGGGAAAGTCTAGAGCCTTGTCCTGAGATACACTGCATGATGCAGGAGGGAGAGGTTGCCGGCAGGAGGAGGAGGGGAAGTGAGCTAGAACCAGTGTGGCCGCAAGTGTGGCTGCTGCAGCGTCTGGGGCCTCAGACTTTCCAAGGCTCTAAGCCTGGCAAATTCTGTGCTCCTGCCCTGTGTAATTCAAAAGGAAAATAATACAAACATTAAAATAAATGTAAGGAAGTCTACCCCAATTCTGAGTTTCCCCTCAATGACTTCTTTCTTGTGCATTTTTGGAAATAAGAAGTTTCCAGTATTTTCAAGAGTTGTAGAGAAAATCAGCCCAGCGCGGCCTAGATTCCCGCCTTTGGCTGTGAAAGGCCGGGGTAGAGACAGCAGGGATGTGGCTGGCACTCCTTTGTCATGGGTCGCTTCTGCATGTCCGCGGGAAATCATCTTGGCTTCCCCTG